ATGCCGATGTAATGTAGGGAAAATCAAGCTCTTCCAAGATAGATTCACTGTAGCCGAGCTGCCTAGGTAAAACCAAAAGCTTGACTTTACTGTCAAAACCCCTCCCTCAAAACCAACGGACCAGCAATATATAATGACTCACCCTCTAGTCACTGTATTCCCAATAATAACTTGGAGCATTGCAATTTATTCATGTGGATTTCACAAAATCTGTAGATTGTTAGACCCAAAACTGAATGCAAGCGTCCAAAGTCGACATAGGGATTGAAGTCGCACTATCTGGGTTTCGTTTCAAGCATCTTCAACGGAAATATACTGAGTGGATTTCTATATGATTTTGTTCTTCAGTGACTAAGTGGTGCAAATAGCTGTGCAAATAAGATCACTCACCGGTCAATGAAATATCGCTATTATTCCCTGAAGATAATACTCGTTAATGCTCCATCATTTGCATTGTGGCACCAGTGCAGATTTTTCGGTTATGAATAAGCAGTCACGAGATACATGACATTTTCCAGGTTCGAAAATGAGCTTTTCACCCTTGGTACACTTGTAAGTGTTAACTCAGCGTACAACAAAAACGAGCTTTTCCCGACCTTTGTGGAAACTGACGATTTGACTTCAATTATCGTTTCTTTGATCAATAAAGGGGATGGCTGACCCCGGAACGATTGTTTTATCTCCTCCTAGTCATCTCACTCCGATCTTCACTCGACCTCAGACGTAACCTCAAACATAATTAGCTTGGACACTGACCTGATAAGATAATTCTGGAACCATTTTACTTGTTGACCATCAATCATTTTTTGATGAATTATGGATACAGACACGTACTGATGGGACATACAGAACCTAATTCTTCATGGAGATCAAACAAGTGCTTGATAACGAAGTGATCTATCGCGTCCTGCACTTCGTTCTCTTAGTCATTCGTATCCCGATTTTATTAAATCAGGTTGGCGTGTTTGTGCATATGAGGGGTGCAAAATAAGTACTCTTGTTAAGTTGCCTACACTTCGAGAATTTGATTTAGAATTTGCTGAAATGACTTTGCACTAAAGCCGTATATTTCGACAGAAATGTCTTGCTTCAACCGAGTATAATAATATGCTGTTAATCTAGTGTCATTCCGATGCATGGCTAATTACTTCCACAAGGAAAATTACAGCATTTTTGCATTCTCAGATTCGATGAGACTCAAATCTATTGTGGTTTTCCGGAAATGTGAATTTCTACACAAAAATGTAAATACGAAAATTATGCGATTAAGAACCTGAGAATCCATTCTGCCATTAACCCGGTGAACATTGCGGATCATATTGATTATGAGGATAACTTTCTCTAAGGAATTATTCATGAAAGGAAGAAAAAATGGAATTCTTCATACCACATTCAGCTGTGAGCACCGTTTTAACATAACTATCTTTGTAAAGAACGGAACGCATAAAAATGTCTCCTTCAAAATTCAACTGAGTTGATTGCTTTGGAGATGGTCTTGGTCAAATACACCCTAATGCTTTGGGGTTATGAGGATTATTGGTCGAGTATTACCAGGATGATCGGTTTTAAACCTGCATTTTATTTCTTGCTCCGTGTAGCGACCAAAGCCGTGGTTTTACTCCATGTTTATTTTTAGCGATAATTGAAAGAGCTACAAAATTAATGTGGCATTATTGTGACGATTTATAGGCAGTACTTGCTTAATCTGATGGACTCGTAGGGCACGTCAAACAGTTCCGGAAACCGTTCCACTGGTTGCAGTAGTGAAACGGCAAGAATCAGTACTGTACCAGCCGAGTAGTATTGTGTTTGCATCAAGCCGTAACTTTTGTATTTTATGTTTTTATATATGGTCCGGTTGCCCTTTGATTGTCTGCAGGTCCTTTCTGAAACTAGTTGTTCAACTTTCCATGGTAAACAGGATGTAATTCTCAACTGCTAGTGGGTGGTTTTGAGGAATATGAAAAATATCGATTTGTACTAATCGCTTTTCAAATATCATCTTTATTTCAAATACTTTCATCGTGCACTGCAGTCGAGTGTCGATTGTATAACAAGTCAACCTCAGCAATAAAATGTTGTAATTATCTTCCTTTACAGGTGGCTCAGAAACATTTCAGTGATTTTATTCCT